TCTCAGGGGCTACTATCTACACAGGGCACACCTAAAAATGTGCGGTACTATCACAAATGACATCATTTTACGTACCTCAAAGCCCGTCAGTAGACTCATAAAGGCGTCATGCAACCTGCTTTAGACGAACGAAATCCTTTCCATCACCGTACCCATCAACGTACGGTGTTCTTCCGAGATAGTCGCTCGCTCTAGCAGATCCCTCAGTGCGTCCGACCGCATACCAGACGGTGTCGGATTCTTTTGGTTGCTCTTTTCAAGAGCCAGACACTGGGGACTTCGGGCGACCATAGGATTATCTTCTAGCCTCACCTGATCCGGCGAGGCCCTCCGTGACGACACTTCAAGGTCGCCCTCTTCTTGAGCGGGGGAGTCCGGGGGAGGCGTTTCGCTCTCCATCATCTTCGAAAGAAGATCCCCCGAAGATGAGCTCTGCTGAGGAGGGCTAAGATCCGAACTGCAAGATAAATGCTTCGGTTATTTTCCTCAGAGGTAAGGTAGTATATCTTCACTATTAAAGTGCTTTTTGATTACTTACAGCTCGTTAGAGGGCTGATCTCCGCGCGGACTTTGTGCGGCAAGAGCACCCTCCGAGGCAGGACCCTTTGGTGGAGACTTCTTCTCCTATTTGGAAGCCTTGGTTTCCGGATCTTCATAGGCAGTCCTCTTCCTTCCCTGAAGCGAGAGAAGGTCAGATTCTCCCCCTTGGTTATCCTCCTTCACGGAGGCGCTCATTCCCTCGGTTGGAATTGGTAGCGATGGGGGCCCGCTTTCGCCCTCATTATTCCCCCCTTTATCTTCCTTTGAGGGCTCCGGGAAAGGTGCTAGCTCGAGCATCTTTTCCAGTATCGGATTGTCCAAGCCCTCAGGAAGGGGGGGCGAACACCGAATCATCTTCGCCTTTGTTAGTCAGTCCTGGTCAAAAGAGCGATTTCTCAGAATGACGTCATGATAAATGAAAGACAGTGTGTTCGGCTAGAGGATTACTTACTTGGTCGGCGATGCGGTTGCTGCTCAGGCCCACGTCCTCGGTAGTATCCGGACACTCTATTTGGGGTCCGAAGAATGATTTATACATCTCCTCGTGCGTCAAGCCGAGGAAATTCTGAATAGTGCGCGGTCCTTCTGGGTTGAACTCCCACATGTGGAGGGCCGGCGTTTGCAAGGCTGGACTCGACGAACCAGCATGACTTGCACCACCATAACCAGACTGAAATCTCCTTCGAAGAGATCTTGAATGTGGCTCTGCAGTATAGGCATGTCATTGGCTGGACCCCAGCTCAGCCCTCTGCTAATCCATGACATCAGTTGTGGTGGAGGGCCCGAGCGGAAAGGAGGGGAAGCCACCCACTTGGCACTTCTAGGAGCTGTGATGTAAAACCACTCCCGTTGCCATAATCCGGACACCTCTGGAAAGGAACCCTTGGGCCATGGAGCTCCAGCGATCTTGCTTATCAATGCGCCTCCGCACGCTACATGCTGCCCCTTGACCATCTTCGTCTTCACGGCAAAGGTCTTGAGCCACAGGCCGAAGTGAGGGGTAATGCGGAGGAAGGCCTCACATACGACAATAAATGCCGAGATGTGGAGAAAGGAGTCCGGGGCTAGATCGTGGAAATCTAGCCCGTAATAGAACATCAAACCCCTAACGAAGGGATCCAGAGTGAGGCCTAGACCTCGGAGGAAGTGGGAGATGAACACAATGTTCTCGTTGGGTTCGGGAGTAGGGACGACCTGCCCTCGGGCAGGCAGCCGATGTGAAACCTCGGCGGTCAGGTATCTGGCCTCCCTCAACTTCTTGATATCCTCTTCCATAACGGAGGAGGGCATCCACCGGCCTTGAAGGCTAGATCCGGACATGATTGAAGGTCCGAAGCACATGACCTGGGCTTTGGGTGTTAGAACTTGAGGCGGGGGAAGGATTCGATTGAGCACGGGAGGGAAAAAGGTAAAAGCCTTGTCCCTTTATAAAGAGGGTGAATATCAAGCGTCCTCCTAGTGGCCGTTTGGGACTTGCCTAAAATCTAGGAGTCCTAGGCACGGTTGGGTTACCCACGACTGTATTAATGAGAATCCCGTAATAAGGGGAACACGATCTCTGCTTTGACAAGACGTGTCAAGAAACCGCCTCGCATTATGTGTGGAGCTGGTTGAAGAAAAACGGTTCGAATAATCACCGACCCATGGCCTGATGTCATGTTTCCAAAGCGTGTCAGCAGATTAAGATTTGTGGAAATATTATTCTCTCTACGGTGGTATGTGGAATTTATTTTGCAGGGTCGGACACTATCCTGGTATTCAAACTCTTCTGTGATGTGTTCAGAGGAGGAACCCGCCTTGCAATGCCGAAGACAACACTGCGCGCCAGACTCATCGTCATTGAAGCCTAGTTCAGGGGCTACTGAGGGAGTCCTGGATTAGGGGGTCTCCGGACAGCCGGACTATATCCTTTGGCCGGACTGTTGGACTATGAAGATACAAGATTGAAGACTTCGTCCTGTGTCCGGATAGGACTCTACTTGGCGTGGAAGGCATGCTAGGCAGTACGGATATGGATATCTCCTCCTTTGTAACCAACCTTGTGTAACCCTAATCCTCTCCGATGTCTATATAAACCAGAGAGTTTTAGTCCGTAGGACAACATACAATCATACCATAGGCTAGCTTCTAGGGTTTAACCTCTCCGATCTCGTGGTAGATTAACTCTTCTAATACTCATATCATCAAGAATAAATCAAGCAGGACGTAGGGTTTTACCTCCATCAAGAGAGCCCGAATCTGGATAAAACATCGTGTCCCCTGCCTCCTGTTACCATCCACCTTAGACGCACAGCTCGGGACCCCCTACCCGAGATCCGCCGGTTTTGACACCGACAGTGTTGATATAGAAGCCCTCCGTGATCGATTCCCTCCGAAAAAGGCCCCAAGATGGGATCTCTTGAGTACAGAAGGTTGCGGCGGTGAAAATAGGGTTTCGTGATGCTCCTGGATGTTTTTTGGGGTATATATATATATATATATATATATATATATATATATATATATATATATATATATATATATATACACTAGATCATCGATGGTGCGCGTTGCCGCACCCGTCCATTATGCCGATAGAATTATAGGAATTTAAATATATGAAGGGACTACATAAATAGATGTTAGAATCAAAAGTAAGCACAAATCTAAAACAGAAGGATGTATTAAATAGTATTTCAACTAATGGTAAGATTATAATAATGACATAGCATCCCAATTGTTTACTAAAATGTTGTTGTAGATAATGTTTTTCACAAAGATCTGAACTGATGGTTCTTACATAACCTCCATTCTTTCATTCAAATGTGTTTTTTGAACTTCAGGATGATTTTTGGAAGCAGATAGATTAACCACATAGAGCAGAAGAACCAAACCAAAAAAAAGAGAAGCCTTGGCGCCTGGGAAGAAGCTACATCTTACATGAAGTTCATCAGAAAGCACAATTTGTAATAGTGTACAAAAACTAAAATATCCTTCCTAGATTATACCAGTCTTGATGCCATCATACACTTAAGGAATGCAGATGTAGACACATCCAGGCATGCTGAAGGCATGCATAGAAGTATTGCAATCTAAAAGGATCTTCATTTGGCACCACTAAAAAGGGGAAGAAATCTCATGGCACAACATGGTTAAATAATCAAATTTCCCCCTTTTCACGAGCAAGGTTAAATAATCAAAGCTTTCTGCACAACACAAGAATGTAAGTGATAAGTAGCATGATGTAATAGTTCCTATGCATTACTGCAACACATTTTAGGATATAGATAATTTATATAGTTGAGCACACAAAATGAAAATAAACAATGGAAATGGAAGAAAGAACATTGTTTAATCAGTGATATATTAATGAAATCACACTGACACTCATATGCTTAGTGCACTTTTAATGCAAACAGTGCAACATATCCGTGACTAATCATTGAAATATTTAGTAAATGTGAAAAATCATGTGGATTGCTACAATACATTTGTGTTGTGAGCATTCACCATATATTTGATGTAAGAAGATACAATGGCTTCTATGCTTTCCTGAAATTATTGAAGTGACATGCTAGTAGGCATGCTCAGAGAACGTAACAATCTACAATAACATAACCACATAGGCTAATGTGATGACAATATTTGTTCCAATAATAAATCATAGAAACATAGGGAAATAATTTATATTGTACTACCTCAGGGACCATAGTTACATGACATGTTTCATTTAGAAAGAGCCAAAGATATCATAAAAATTCTAATTTCTTGCCATAGAGGAACCCAAGGGTGGAATTTCATGCATTGTAAATAGAATGGGAGATAAATAGTTAATACATCCATCTAAAAAGCCTTGGAAGTTTGCATTAATTATACATGAATATAGTTGCAATCCTCTACCCTGAAAGTACATATATAAGATAAAAAAATCTCATCAGCCTAAAAGAGTTGCAAACTCAAAGTTGGCTGTACTATCAATCAAGTAATCCAAAAGACACAGTAGAAGGCACTTACTTGGCTCCTTATATCTTCGACAATAAAGATCAAATGTTGCAAACTTTAGTAACCGTTCCATCTGATCGGTTATTGCAAGCATAATTTCTTATCACAAAGAGCTGATATGCAACCTGAAATAATTCCCAATGTTGGTGATATACAAAGGAAGGTTTTCAATAAACTATACATAAGTTCTATCATAACCAGTGGCAGCAAGCACACCTGCAATGAGCAGCAAGCTAAGAGAAGCACGGGGATGCAACATCATAATTGTGAAGAAATGCTGACAAGATAATCGATTTACAAACCATATAGTCATGAGATGCAAATCATGTATTAACCTGTGAAGAAAAACTAACTGCATAACCGATTTGTCATAGAACAATGAGGCAAGATGCATTCTTTGGATCTACGATCTAAAATTTTAAAAGGTAACTCCAAAATAGATGACGCAGTGAAATACATCTACTAATCAAAATTACCAATTACCAGATGGTAACCTCGACGTCAGGGACGGAACCGGTGCCCTTCTTAATCTCCTCCGTAAGCATCACAACGTGTTCCCAAGGTCGAGTAGTATCTGCAAATAAACAGAAAATGGAGCAATCAGATCAATTAGCTAAGCGAGGCAAAAGAAGAGAATCTTGACTCTAGGGCGGCCATGCCGAAACAAAGCATAAATCACTAATTTAAAAGGAGCCTGAAAATAATGACCACAGAATAAATTGGAACAGAGATTAGGGATCGACCTAACCTACTCAAAAGTGACGTTGAGGTGCAACTACTAAACATGTGGAACGGGAGGCTTCAATACATCACTCTGATCACCTCACCCCGTTGCTGCATCCCTTTTATCTCCTCAGGAGCAGAAGTTCAACAATTTTGGGGACAAGCCAGATGATGTGGTGGACGGCAACACCCCTCCTCTACGTTGCTAGAGGTGGCAACCTCCCAGTCCCAGGCAACCCTTCTTCCAGTAACCTCGTTTGTCCACCGACGAAGCAAATTAAACGGTAGAAAAGCACCAGAAAAGACGAATAACACGTCCAGTACACAAGCACAACACATAGATCAAAGATGAATACTGAAATCGTTCACGCCTGAAATACATATTCAGAAACTTTAGATCCATGAAAGATTTAAAAGTACAACAAACCTGCAGATATCGAAACCAGTGTGGAAAGATATGAGGAATTAAGCTCCAAACCTACCTTTGCACTGGCTGACCTGCAGAAGAGTAATCACGGCGACATGAGAGTGGAGGCGCCCGCCTTATCGCGTGAAGCCAACACACTGACCGGAGGAGGTGTTCATGCCGGCCGGTGCACCTTTCGCGACTCCGAGCTGGTGCTAGGACGGCGGCGCCGCCGGTCACGGTCGCGCTTGTCGCGATGGTCATCCCACCCGTCGTCTGAGGCCCTAGGACGCCTCCGCCGGCGGTCGTCCTCCTCTCGTCGTCAGAAACCCTAGACCGCCTCGTCCAGCGGCCGTCCTCCACATCCCCGTCGAAACCATGGCGCACGAGCGCGGGAGGTCATCGACCTTAATTGGCTTGGGGACCCCCGTTGTCTTCCGAGGGCTTGGGGTCGTGGCGGGGCCCGCGGTCCGGGTCGGGCGGGGAAGGCAGCGACATGACCGATGGCGTCCCAGGGCCGGAAGGCTGCGGCTAGCATGGGAAGCTGACGCGCCGCCGTGTCCCGTCCCCATTGTCGTCTGTGTGGAAGGCGGAGAGGCTCAAGAGCAGGCAGGTCAGGAGGGGCGGGGTTCGTTTAGGTTATCCAGCGAGACACATCAGACCAAATGGGTTGTCCTCGCTTGGTTAGATGGGCTGGCAGCCCAGTTTACCACAGGGCGCCCACAGGATAGTAGGCCCGGTATCGCACTAGACAAAGATCCAACGACCAGAAACACTCGCATCGTGAAAACGGACGGCCAGAAACGCGGAGCACTGAGAGGGCTCGCTTTAGGTGCGGTTATACTGTCCTTAATAGGAGGATGAAGTAGGTCGGTGGAGCTGCGAGGGGCCCACGAGGGTGGGGGCGCGCCCAGGGGGGCAGGCGCGCCTCCCTGCCTCGTGGCCTCCTCGCTCCTTTCTTGACGTCTACTCCAAGTCCCTTGGATCATGTTTGTTCCAAAAATAACTCTCCCGAAGGTTTCATTCCGTTTCGATTCCATTTGATATTCCTTTTCTGCGAAACACTAAAATCGGCAAAAAAACGGCAATTTGCACTGGGCCTTGGATTAGTAGGTTAGTCCCAAAAATAATATAAAAGTGTATAATAAAGCTCATTAAACATCCAAAATAGATAATATAATAGCATGAAACAATCAAAAATTATAGATACGTTGGAGACGTATCAAGCATCCCCAAGCTTAATTTATGCTCGTCCTCGAGTAGTAAATTATAAAAACATTTTTTTATGTGGAATGCTACCTAGCATAATTCTTAATGTAATTTTATTTATTGTGGCATGAATATTCAGATCCGAAAGATTTAAGAAATAAGTCTAATATTGACATAAAAATCATAATACTTCAAGCATACTAACTAAGCAATCATGTCTTCTCAAAATAACATGGCCAAAAAAAGTTCATCCCTACAAAATCATATAGTTTGGTCATGCTCCATTTTCGTCACACAAGAATGCTCTCATCATGTAACATACCAAAATTCTAAATGTTGGAATGTTATATTAAATAAATAATTGTGATTGTTTGTTTGTTTGTTTGTTGTGTGATTGATGGTGTGAAATTGAGTGGAAATAGAATTTTTTTTAAGTTGAATGAGAGAGAATAAAAGGACTTTCCCAAAACTTTCATCTTGCATGTTTGATCTCCATGAATTCATAGTCATATCATCACAAGACCCTAGAATGAAGATAATATGACTTCTTCCATTAAAGGAAATGAAAAGGGGTTTGAAAATGATTTGAATTTCATTTGAAATATTTCAAATTTAGAAACTTTAAGCAACTCAATGAGTTCACGAGGGAAGATAAAATGACTTCTTAAAAATTCGAAGAAAGAGAGTTGGAAGTTTCAAAGGAATCATTTGGAGGTCACTTTGAAGTTATTTGAAACTCATTTTCCATTTGAGGTTGTTTGAAATTCCAAATTCAACTCCAATTAGGAGTTATTTGGGTTTATTCAAATTATTTTTCTTCTAAAAAAAATAAATGGAAATAAGGGTAAAATGATTCCCTTCAATAGAAAATTAGGAGAAAATAAATTTGAAATCATTTTGCTATTTTAAAAATGATTTTTATTGATTTTAAATGCAATAGTAGCACTGTTTGACTTTTATGAATTTTTATATAATTTAGTTTAACTTGAAAAATAGTTCATCTTATTCGGGGTATTTTTCTAAACATTTTGGTATATAATATGCCTACATAATTTTTTTATTTATTTTCTCTCGGTTGGAGTTTTCTTCCTGTAAAAAAAAGAGAGAAGCACCGCGTGGACCGAAACAGTGTTCGGCCCAGGGGCGAACCAGTCGGCCATACGGCCCAAGGCCCAACCCCGCGCCCGCGAAGGCCACCGCTCGCTCGCGCGCTCCTCGCCCGCATACCACGCCCGCTGCCAGATGGGGCTCACCCGCTCCTCGCCCGAGTGCCCGAAATGAGTTTTTTTTGTGAAGGGCCTACCATATATTTGTTGCAAGATTGGAGCAAATCAATTTTATAAAATACTAGGCCATATTTAATGCAAAATTTACAAAAAGGTTGGGTGTCAAAAGTTTTGATCCACCTCTGGTGAAAAAGACAAATTCCCGCCGATTTAGTAGGAAGCGGGTCAAATTTGAACTGCAGCTACCTCGTAGTTTGCTCTTTAATTTTTCCAAAAATCATTTATAGGTACATAAGTATCTATTTAATCAGAGAAACGTCAAAATTGTTCCAAGATTCAACCACTAGCTAGGAACGGTCAAGCCCGCTGTTTTGACCGCATTTTGAAACAGGCATAAAAAATTCAAAACAAAATCAAAAAATTGGAAAACCTTCGCATTGTGTCATCATATGTGACCAAGTTTCCAGAAAAAATAATAAACTTGTAATACGGCAATTATTTTTAAAAAAATGTTCTCAAAAATGAGCTGTCATGCGTGAAGATTCATGGCTTTCAAGCCAAATGATCAATCTTATGGCCACATTCATGACATACTTTGTTCAAATGATCTCATACTGTGCACAATGGTGCATCTTGGAATTCCAAACAATGTTGCCTAAGGGAGTTTTCATTTTCTTTGCACGGAAAATTCATTTTCCATTTTCTGAGTGCCCGAAATGAGTTTTTTTGTGAAGGACCTACCATATATTTTTTTACAAAATTGGACCAAATCAATTTTATAAAATACTAGGCCATATTTAGTGCAAAATTGACAAAATGGTTGGGTGTCAAAAGTTTTGATCCACCTCTGGTGAAAAAGACAAATTCCTGCCGATTCAGTAGGAAGCGGGTCAAATTTGAACTGCAGCTACCTCATAGTTTGCTCTTTAATTTTTCCAAAAATCATTTCTAGGTACATAAGTATCTATTTAATCAAAGAAACGTCAAATTTTTTCCAAGATTCAACCACTAGCTAGGAACGGTCAAGCCCGCCGTTTTGACCGCATTTTGAAACTGGCATAAAAAATTCAAAAAAAATTAAAAAATTGGAAAACCTTTGGATTGTGTCATCATATGTGACCAAGTTTTCAGGAAAAATAATAAACTTGTAATACGGCAATTATTTTAAAAAAATATTCTCAGAAATGAGCTATCATGCGTGAAGATTCACTACTAAGAAAGGGGTTATAGCTAATATGGACATTAATGGCGCACCATATATGTGGTGCGCCACTGCTATATAGCAGTGGCGCACCAGATACAGGTGCGCCATTAGTGTCCTCATTACTAATGGCACACTAGACACACGGTGCGCCATTACTAGCAAATTTTATTTTCTTTTATTTTTCCAAAACTATTAATGGTGCACCAGGGCACAGTGTGCCATTACTAGTTTTAACTAGTAATCGCGCACCATACGCTCCGTGCGCCAGTACTAACAATTTTTTTACTTTTTTTCAAAACTAGTAATGGCGCACCTTTGTGAAGTGCGCCATTACTAGTTCAAACTAGTAATGGCGCACCACAACCACGGTGCGCCACTACTAACAATTATATATATATATATATATATATATATATATATATATATATATATTGCAAAACTAGTAATGGCGCACCCCTAACTGGTGCGCTATTAGTAACCAGGGTTACTAATGGCGCATTTTTAGGTGGTGCGCCATTAGTAACCTGAGACCAGCTAGATATTTTGGACAGCCACCTACCACACAAACTTTCCCCACGTCATTCTCTCCACCTCCTCCTCCAAGCCTGTCTCGGCTGCCTCCTCCTCCTCACCTCATTTGCACCATAAATTCACCCAAATTAAGTGGTTAAATTACCTTTTTTGATAGGTAAGTAAGGGGAAATCTTTCTTTATGTTGTAGATCTACTTTTTTTCTCCCACCAACAACGTGCACATGCACTTTTTATGGCCTAGCTAGATCTACGTATGTTTGTGGTGTTGCATATATGTTTGTGTTTGCAGGTACTGGTATTTGAATGCGATAGTTGCCGATATTTTGCCGGAATGTTGATTCATTTCCATTTCAGTGAGAATTTGGCACTATGCATTCTTTTTGGTCCTATTTTTAGGCAAAGTCATGCCAATTTTTTTTCTTGGTTCTAAAATATCGTTTTGCTCTACCCTGCAGGCGACCATGGTCTGCACGATGACCGAAGGCATCGTGAATAGGTTTTTGAGCTCCGCGAAGGCCGAGACGCTTCAAAAGAACGAGACGGAGATAAGATGTCTGTGTCGAAGATGCAAGCTGAAGAGCCTTATTGCGGACCCGGATTCTGGACAGGTGCGGGACCACCTGCTCTTGCATGGTTTCATGGATGGCTATCGGTGGCAAGGTGATGAATATGACTATGAAGTCGTCCATGGGGGCCGGGCAAGAAATGAGGAAGGGCAGCAAGACAACCACCGCGGCGAGGGTGGGCGAGAAGACGAAGAATCTCCGGGACATGATCACGACGGTGATGCTATACACAGTCATCATGTAGAAAATGTCGGACATGATGATGAGGAAGATGAAGATGAAGGGCATGATCATGAAGATGAAGATGCCAGAGCAGACGACGATGTACCATCGATGGGCTGGGTGCAGGACCCTCATATTCAAGAGCTGCTTCTCAAGCAGACGGATAACGCAAGAGCTGCCGCCCGAGAGAAAGCCAAGCTGGATCAACTAGAGATAGACGCGGTTACTCCATTGTATGAAGGATGCATGCCCAAGGATACCCGCCTGAAAGTAATGCTCATGTCTCTGGAGATGAAGGTAAAAC